CATACGCCTAAATAGGCAAGGGGTTCCTTGTAGAATTTCGTTCAGGGTTTAGGGTTAAGGGTTGTCCGAAGAATTTAGACTCTAAGGCTGAAAATTAGGATTCATCGAGATGCTTGCGCACACCTTTTTTGCGAAATCGGCGAGCGGCGTCATTGGTCACTCGAACACCCAGCTGTGAACATACTGCTTTACCTCAATGTCATTCCAGAGACCAATCATTTTTTGAGGAGCTTTGTAACTCGCTGCGATCGGGGCGGGTGCAACGACGACCCATCTGATGTCTGAGATCTGCTTGATTGCGTCTTCAGAGAAAGAGCCCGCCATGTCGTCTTTCATTTTATTGATCTTGCAATCATGTTGGCTATCCTTGGTTGTCTGCAACAACCAAAGCGTGAGGCTCTTATCCTCATTGCTTGTCACGAAGAAGAAGTCGGTTGCGGCAAAGTTGTCCGAGTGAGGACAATACAGCTGGTCAGCATTCATGTTTCGGATCTTCTCGTGCTTTGAAGCAGATGCAAGTGGCACCTGCGCTTGGGCATTGGGAACTTGCTGTGGGAAGTCAGCTCCGCCAGCCAAAGGTCTGCAAGTTAGTTTGTATCGCGGTTGTCCTTTACCGGTCAGCCTGTTGAGAACCATGACCTCAGAGATATCTCCCACCAACTGCCCCAGCGGCTTACTTTCAAGAAACTTCTTCACGAACTTGACCCGGGCCTCTTGTGTCTCGATGTTGAGCGCCTTGCAAACTTCCTGTTTTGCAACATCTGAGGCAAGAAACTGCTCGGACGGAGTCTCGGAATCCCCATCTGCATCAATTTGAAGCAGGAGGCTCGCTTTGCTGTCCCTGGTGTCAGCTGCGGCACTCGGTCCCAAACGCCTCACCAACTTGTCCAAGTCATCCCATGATGTGATCCTTTCGAGGCACTGTCGAATTATCTTTTTGGCGGCATCTTCCAGAGACTGCGTTGGCTTCTTCTGTCGCTGCACAACCACAGCGCACAGCCACCGCACACTCCCACCAAGCAAGGCATGTGCCTTCTTGACATCTGCGTCGTCGCTGAAAGAAGGAAGCAAAACAAGCTGGTGTTCGATCAACTCTGCAAGGGTCCATGTAGGCATGAAGCGCCGTGTGCTATGAACGACCTGCTGCTTAAACGCAGTTTTGTAGCACTTCTCTCCGGGAGACGTGAAAGCGAAAGACACGCCCTGATCGCGAGTCTGCAACTTGGCCGCATCAGAATCACACGGGTCGAACAACAGCACAGTCGTTTGTTGCTTGAGCAGGGCCTCGGGTTCCTTTTTCCCATGTGTAGTGGCTTTGCCAGAAGCATGTGACCACCACTCCTGCCCACGCTGAATCACGATGTCGTAGCCCTTCTCACACAAATATGCCGCAAAATATGCCAGGAAAGCAGATTTCCCGATACCGGGTGTGCCCGTGATCACAAAAACTCCAGTGAGTTTGTGATCTTTCAGTTTCTTGTCCATCCATTCCATCGCCAACGTCCGCATCTCGAGGAAACACTTGCGAACAACCAACTTGATCCCCATGTCGATGACGCCGAGGACAACGTTCTCAAACTGCTGAACATTATGCATGGTCGCATCTTTGCTCGTCCCGTCGCTTCCCCAGTTGCTGGGCTTCTTGCTCACTGCCTCTTCCAGCCATTTGCAAAGTGCATCTTGGGGAGGTTCAACCTTGCAAGAATCAAAAAGGCACCAACCCCCAACCCCGAGTACGCAACTCAATTACCTAACCCTATCGGGTAACCCTACGAGAAAACCAAACCTAGGGGGAATAAACAACTACGCTACAACCAACGAGCCCAATAAGTAAGGTAATCAACTAAGGCGATCGGGAAAAGTCTATGAGCAAAACGGGAAAGACTGCAAAATCAGGAAAAGCAAAAACATGTTGCATTGGAGCAAAGGGGCTGGTTCTGGCGTGTGATCACTGATCCAATTATGCAGCCGAAACACGATCCCCTTCCGAACAACTGTCTCAGTAATTATCTCCTGCAGCACGTAGTCCAGTGACCCAGTCGTGCTTCGCGACAGATCCACCTTGTCGATGCCCATTGATCGAAAGACTGCGGTGACGGCCTTCGCTTGTTCTGGCGGCACCTTTGAATCAATGAGTTCTGCCTCCATCCCATCGAACAGCGTATCCGGTTCAATTTCAGGAAATTTCTGTCTCTTCCACGGACGCTCGGCCAGTGTTACAACAGAGACTACAATGGCATGCTAAAGATTCAACGACTGCCTACATGTCAGTTGCTTGCGCCCGTCTTGCGCTAGAACCTTGCATGCTCCATCATCTGGCTTTCAACATCATGAACAAACATGAGTCCACCCACGCCTATAATGAACCGGGACGAAAGCTGCTGAGCTATTGAAATCAGCAACTGACGCAGGTGGCTTGAAGCTTACAAAACCGGCAAAAGCGCAATCGTTCACCCTGTCACAACTGAACTTGCAAGTTGTAACATCATCTACAACTTCAAACCACATACCGCGACCTACGCACAATTACAAGTTGCAAGAGGCACCACAACTTACAAGTCAAGATGCAATATCAGCACAACTTCCAAGGCGCGGAAAAAAACTACACCTTTAACAAGTCAAAGCGCAAATAAGCCCGATCCGCCCCTGTCACAAAGTAGTAGCTCTTCTTGTCAATTCTTTCCACAGTATACACATTTTTGCTGAAATTGCCCACTCTCTCTTTTTGATTAGGTTTCCTCTTCCTAAATATTTTAGCTTCATCACCAGCACTTAATTCAGGAAAGACACGATTTCGCGTAGCATTCAAATTTAAGTGGAGTTTAACTTTCAATTCGTTACTCGGCTTTCTGGCATCCTTTGGGGTGAAGCCAGTTGCGGAATGTTTGATTTTATCATTTTCTGTTAATAATATTTCAAAAATGTAATCAGTCCACTGATTTTGGTTTTTACCCTTTTTCTCATCAGCCTCAACACGACGATATAATAAATCTT